TTTGTAGCAGTGCTCACAAAAATCAACAAACAGGAAGCAACTCCATTTTTTCGGGCCCCTTAAACAGCTCAAGGTCTGGGCCCCCAGGGCCTGACCGTGAGAATGCCTCAAGTGGAGTGTATGGGTTTAGGGGGATGTGGTATGTGTTATTGTAGAGGATGTAATGTGTGTGTGTTTTTATAGAATGTAGTGTATAGGGATACCAATTTGTGTAAGGGTTGTAGTGTGTGTATAGGGAATGCAGTGTGTGTTTGTGTGTAAGGAATGCATTGTGTGTTTGTGTGTGTGTGTTTGTGTGTGTATAAGTGATGTAATGCAGTGTGTGTCTGTAAGGGGTGCATTGAGTGTGTATAAGAGATGCAATTTGTTTATGTGTGTGTAAGAGAAGCAGTGTGTGTGTGTGCGTAAGGGATAAATTGTGTGTTTCAGTGTATCTGGGTGTGAGTAGGGATGCATTGTATGCTTCTGTGTGTGTGTGTGTGTGTGTGTGTGTGTAGGGATGCATTGTGTGTTTCTGTGTATGTGTAAGGATGCATTGTGTATATGTGTAAAGTGAAAGAGAGGGTTTGTGGGGTAGGATAGGGACTGAGAGGGGAGCATCTCTTTATTTTTTTTATAGTGCTCTCCCCTACTATCAATTAGTGATCGCCCCTCCCCTCCTGTCCCTTAGTTCTCTCCCCTCCCCTCCTGTCCCTTACAAGTCCCCCCTCCCCTCCTGTCCCTTAGTGTTCTCCCTTGCCCCACTGTCCCTTCGTGAGATCCCCTCTCCTCCAGTCTTATAGTGCTCTCCCCAACCGTCCCTCAGAGCTCACCCCTCCTGTCCCTTAGTGCTCTCCCCTCCTGTCCCTTAGTGATCTCCCTTGTTCCTTAGTGATCTACCCTACCCCTCTGTCCCTCAGTGCTCTCGCCTTTCCTTCCTTAGAGCTGTCCCCTCCATCCTTAGAGCTCTCCCTAGCCCCTAGCCCTTAGTGATCTCTCCCCTCTCTTTCCTGTCCCTCAGTGTTCCACTCTCCTCCCTGTCCCTTAGTGGTCTCTCCCCCCTCTTAGTGGTCCTCTCCAGTCCCCACTCTTCCCCATTAGTGGTCTTCTCCCTCTCCCCTTTGGTAATTCCTCCCCAACCTTTAGTGGTCCCTCCTCTCCCCAACCTCTTAGTGGTCCTCCCTCTCCCCCCTCTTGGTCCTCTTCAGTCTCTGGCCCCTTAGTGCCTCCCCTCCCTTCCCCCTTAGTGGTCCTCCCTCTCCTATATATGGAAACAAAACTTGTGTGGACTAGCTGAAATGAAATTAGTTAAGGTAATGATGACTTTGGTCTCTCTAACACTGTGGTATGTTCCCTTTCTTCTACACCTACTACATCCACCTTTTTTCTGTCTCAGACTGTATACAAGGAGCTTTTGTCTGCTAGTAAGAAGGTAAGGAGACAAGTGGACATGTGAGTGCTAGGGGAAAGTCCATAGACAGCATGGAACGAGTGCATCATTAGATGCATTTATGCCAAGCTCAGGATGCTGTTGGCCAGTATGCATGATTGGCAGGCAGCAGAGGCGTGCGCAGCCTATTGCATTAGGGTGTGCACCCTAAAGCACAAACACATGCCGCGTGTATATGTATGTGTGTGTATATATATATATATATATATATATATATACACGTACACACATACATATATATATATATACACACACACACACACATACATACACTGCTGCGTGTGTGCTGTATGAGGGTGGTTTGAGGGTGTTGTGTGTGTAAGGGTGCTGTGTGTTTGTGTGTGTGTAAGGGTGCTGTGTGTGAGGGTGCTGTTAGTGTGATGTGTGTGTGAGGGTGCTGTTTGTGTGCTGTGTGTTTGTGTGAGGGTGTTTGTGTGTGTGTGTGTGTGTGTGTGTGTTTGTTAGGATCCTGTTAGTGTGCTATGTGTGCGAGGGTGCTGTGTGTGTGTTTGTGAGGGTGCTGTTTCTGTTCTCTGTGTGAGAGGGTGCTGTGTGTTTGGGGGTGCTGTATGTGCGATGGTGCTATGTGTGTAGGTGCTGTATGTGTGTGAGGGTGCTGTGTGTGTGTGGGTGCTGTATGTGTGTGCTGTGTGTGTGTGGGTACTGTATGTGTGAATGTTGCTGTATGTGTGTGCTGTGTGTGTGCTGTATGTGTGTGTGTACTGTGTGTGTGTGTGGTGTATGTGTGTGAGGGTGCTGTGTGTGTGTGTGGGTGCTGTATGTGTGTGTGTGCTGTGTGTGTGGGGGTGCTGTATGTGTGTGTGTGCTGTGTGTGGGTGGGTGCTGTATGTGTGTGCTGTGTGTGGGTGCTGTGTGTGTGTGGGTGCGGTATGTGTGTGCTGTGTGTGTGTGGGTGCTGTATGTGTGAAGGTGCTGTATGTGTGAAGGTGCTGTATGTGTGTGCTGTGTGTGTGTG